GGTACTGTCATTGAAATGGATAGAGGAGAAAGAAATACATAATAGTGTAATTGCATCTGACAGCTTTTCAGCATTATCGAGTATACGATCAGGTACATCTTCATTTAGAATGGACATAATAAATGAAATATTTCTAATTGTATATAAAATGCAAATCAAAGGCATAGCAACTCGTTTCAGCTGGGTTCCTGCTCATGTTGGTGTGGAGGTTAATGAACAGATGGATATTCTGGCCAAACAAACACTCAGAATTATGAACATAGACATAGAAGTTCCACTTAGCAAAGCGGAGGCTACAACATTCATACAGAAATATGCACAAACAACATGGCAAGATCATTGGGACCTTAGTGATGCAGGAAGACATCTTTATACAATTCAAAGGTATGTGGGGGATGGAAGGAAGGTGGGGTTTCAAAGAAGGGAGGAAAATGTCATTTCTCGGATGAGAATAGGTCATACAGGTCTCAATCATACATTAAGTATAATAGGAAAGCATCCAACCGGAAAGTGTATACACTGTAGCCAGCCAGAAAATGTTGAGCATGTTTTACTGCTTTGCAGGAAATATAGTACTCAGAGAAATGTGCTTTTCCAGACACTGAAGAAAGCAAAATGCCATGACTTGTCGCTATCAGGGCTGTTATGGAGAACATCAGGCAATATGTATTGTGAGATTATTACGTTTCTAAGAGAAATTGATACATTTAAAATAATCTAGAGTTTTGGTTCTTTATTTTATTTTATTTTTTATTTATTTTGTTTATTGTTTTCTGCATAGTCTCTTGTCCACACTCCAGTCCAGTTGGTGGCGGTAATGCGCCTACAAGTTGGTTTGCCAACCGCCAATAAACACTAAAGATAGAAGAAGAAGAAGAAGAAGAAGAAGAACGGAAGCAGAAGAAGAAGAAGAAGAAAGCGACAAAGACGAAGAAGTATTTGTTCGGTGGATGTTTTGCTGTCTGTTAGCTCACATTCCTCCCCTGAAGCACAGGTATTAACTCGGTTTATCCCGGTCTTTTGCCACAGCTTGTGTTGGACCTGTTTCTAATGTTCCGTTCTCTGAAGACATTAATGTGTTCATGAGCTTTGTGTGTTTAAAGTTGGCAGCTAATGTTAGCATCATAGCATCAATGCTCCAACACCGTTACAGTCAGAGGTGAAGAAGTACTAGGATGTTGTACTTGAGAGTAAAAGTAGAAATACCAGAGTGTAGGAATACTCTGTTACAAGTATCAAAATGCGACTCAAGTGAAAGTAGAAAAGTATTAGCATCAAAGTATACTTAAAGTAGCGACAGTAAAAGTATTCATTGTGCAGATTGGTCCATTTCAGAATAATATATATGATATGTTTTATAATGATTGATCATTAAAGTGTTCTCAAAGCTGGTAGCTAGTTTGAATGACTTTGTATACTGCAGGGTAGCTTGTGAATTTACTCCAGGTGGAACTAAAGTCTGATTTAACACTTGATTATATTTCACATCATTCATCCACATCTGTAAACTAACTAAAGGTATTAAATACATGTAGTGGAGTAAAAGTACACCATGTACCTCTGAACTGTAGTGGAGTAGAAGTACAGAGTAGCAAAACATGGAAATACTCACGTATCTCAAAATAGTATTTAAAGGTGGGGTAGGTAAGTTTGAGAAACCGGCTCGAGATACCCTTTTTGTTATATTCCATTGAATGCTCTTAACATCCCGATAGCAATGAATATCTTAAGTGCTTTGACAGAAAATCCATAAAAAGATTTCATCTGTGGAAGCCGTAGTACTGTAAAAAGCACGACCAATCATCTGAGCCGGCCCGGCTAAAGTAACTGGATGGCCTACCTGCCTGTCAGCCTTCCATCTGTGCACAAACTTATCTCGTGCCCTCATTGGTCATGTGCGCGTCGCCAAGGCACACGTAGTGGAGTAAAAGTACACCATTTACCTCTGAACTGTAGAGGAGTAGAAGTAAAAGTGAAACATTAAAATACAGCACAGGTCCCTAAAAATTGCTTTTAATTAAAAGTCCAGTACTTGAGTAAATGTATTTAGTTACTTTACACCGCTGTTAACAGCACCTTTACCTTTGAAACACTTTCAGAGAAGCAAACTGAAGCACAATGACCCGCCATGGAAAAAACTGCACGGCTGGAGCTGTGTATACTTACCATGAGAAGAAGAAGGACACAGGTGAGGACCAGGGTCAGGTTACACTGAAAATACTCTGACTGCCACCCGCTGCAATGACTTGGTTATCAATAAGATACACACACACACACACACACACACACACACACACACACACAGATTTCACTAAGATGCAGCAAAGGTGAAATGGATCATTCTCAAATATAGGTTGAGTCAGACACTGGTAGTATTCCCTTCCCTTTTAAAGAAACCGCTCACAGAGTTCTCCTCGTGTTCGATACCTGCTGACTGTCAGTAATGAGGGCTTCAAGCGGTCAAAGGAATACAACTTCAACTTTTTCAGCTAAGTAGACTAAAACGGCACCAAGGATGTTTGGGAGTTTACCGACATAATCATAACAACTACTGAGAATTGTTGTCATACCTGCTTGAAGAAAAAAAAGTCTGAATGAGGAATTGCATTGCTTGATTTGTCGGTGTGATCAAAATAACCAGGACCATCATACAGTTTTTCTGTACAGAAAAACAATCAGCATATCAGTAGTCCTGACAACATCCTTTTCAAACAAACATTTAAGAGTCAAAAATCATTTTGTGTGGTAGTTATATTTAAACAATGAATCACACATTCAACTCATTTATTTCACTGCAGATGAGACTCATTGTAGTTATTTTGCAGGAAGAAGATAATATTGATGTATTTATTTAAGTGTGTGTGTGTCTGTGTGTGTGTCCTGCTCAGCGGCGTCTGGTTACGGAACTCAGAGCATCCGGCTGGGCAAAGATGCCATCAAAGACTTCGACTGCTGCTGCCTGTCCCTGCAGCCTTGTCAGGACCCCGTGATGACGTATGGTTCCTTCAGCACACACTTTACCTTGACATGTGACACATATATAAACAATGATTCCTGGTTTCTCTTGCTGTCCTCAGTCCAGATGGTTTCTTGTATGAGAAACAGGCCATTCTTGAATACATTTTGCACCACAAGACAGAAACTGCCAAAAAGATGAAGGTAAGCCCTGCCTGTCTGTCTCCAAGCTTCCCCACACTACAAACATGACTGATTGTTCCTGGAACAACAGAAGCTTCTTCTTCCTCTCTTCTTATTACACTGTTACACAGTATTTAGCTGACACTTTTATCCAAAGTGACTCAATACAATCAGTACTGTATACATGCCAACGGTAGCATTTTCATTTGGCTCATTACAAGAACTGCATCACAGGCAACCACTAGCAACAAGTGGTACGAAATATATTTGATCCATTTCTGTTGTCGGTCAACACACCCTGTATAGAATAGTTTTTAATCAGGCTTAGAAAAATACTACCTGTTGACTAGCAGTCATTCCAAATCTGTTGTATGTGTGAAATGGTCTCACAAAATGAACATATCTCTGGATTAGTACAAAAAAGGAACTGGCTTTTCACAATTCAAAATGATTGATCACAGAAAAAGTCCTTAACGGTATGGCACAGCCCTGACCATGACTCAGCAGAACACTATTTACATGCTGAAAGAGCATGTTAAGGATGAACACACTGACCTTTATCAGGCACAGCGTGTATGATGATGGATATGTTCTTCAAGTTTAAGTCAAATGTGTGTGTTTATGATGGGCATAAACAAATGTTAAATTACAAAAATGATTTAGCTTCTTTCTGTAAAATAAAGGAAGTTGTCTTTACTTGGATAAAATGAAACACTGTTTCCTCCTATTATTCTGCAGGCGTATGAGAAGCAGAAGCAGGTGCAGAAGAGCAGCAGCCAGCTGGAGTCCAAGTCCGAGGAGCGCGAGAGGGTGGAGCGGTTTAAAACCAAAGAGAACAGCATCGTGTCCAAACCCATCAACCCCTTCACCTCCGGTATGTCCCAACCTGCGTGTGCTGTTTACCAGCTGATAACCTGCTGTCTACCTGCTGATAACCTGCTGTCTAACCGCTGATAACCTGTTGTCTACCTGCGGATAACCTGCTGCATGTGCTCGGTGTCCGTGTGAGCCCAGCTAGCCGCTGCTTGGATTTTGATGCGTGTTATACCCGCTGTCAAACTACTAACTGTCACAGGACACCTCATTTGCTAAAACATTGAACATTTCCTAGATTTTTAACTCCCTTAAATTTAATGAACGTATTTCTTTATTAAAAAAAGAATCCTGTCCACGATAACCTTAAATAGAGCTTTGTCAAATTGAACAGTATCTTGCTTATACTTGCACAGTTTATGTGTTCTCTCATGGTTCAGACTACTACCCCGTCAGAGTGAAAGTCATTTTACTGTCCCCCCCCAAACTCAATTTGAAAATTCAACAGTGGTTAAGTACAGAGAGAGAAGGACACATGGTTGCCTAACAAACCTTGTTGGTGCACAGCTTACATGCACCAGTGCATTCACACAGGAAACATATTGTAGTGAATGTAGTTTAATGTTATTGTTGCACTTGCCCCAATGATTTGTTTTAAAAAGCCGAACAATTATTTGCAGTGTATAGACTGTGTTTCCCTCTCAGGGCAGAACCCGGGTGGAGAGAGGAGCCGGACCAACGCAGCAGAGTCCTCCAGCTCCGCCCCTGTTGCCTCCTCCAGCCAGAGCCTGCCCTGCTTCTGGGTACCCTCCCTGACCCCCCAGTCCAAGCCCACCCTGCTCAAGAAGCCTGTGAGTCTGCTCCGCTGCGCTCTGACAAACAGGGAATGTTCACTATTTACTAAAGCACACTGAATTCATGGAAACAGTTCCTGAGTGGTTTTGTGTCTCCTCAGAAGCTGTCTATAGCCAGCAATGTGAACTTGGAAATGTTCCCCAAAGTGTTATGTTAGAAATGGATTGTATGTAGAGAACTCCAGCACTTAGAAACTGCCGGAAGCTAACCTCCGTCTGTGTGCCATGATGTTCTCAGTCTGTTTGTTTAGAGTATCAGTTTAATGTTGACACTATTTAGAGGCAGGCTGACCCTGGATCCAAAGTAAATATTTGATTAACTCTGTCCCCGGTGTCTTTCAGAGTAAGACTGTGTTGTGTCCCATGTCAGGACGACCTATTAAGATGAATGAGCTGATCACGGTGCGCTTCACGGCCCTGGACCCCAGCCTGGATAGAGTGGCCCTGCTCACCCGTCAGGTCAGTCCTCTCAGCGCCGTGACTCATCCCCTCCTCTTGGTCATTTGGATTAAATAAACAACAACCTATTCTGTAAAATGTCAGAAAAAGTTGCAATTTTACATCGGCGTCCAATGTTCCAATATGTCCTGAACACGTCCATCGTTTTTTCCAACCAAGTTTAGCTTAAACTAAGGCCACTTCCGCATTAACATCGCTCTGCGTTACGGCGTCATGGACGTATTAAGACAACGTCCCCATGTTAACACGATGAAGGATATGGTTGTTTATCAGGCAGTTTAAGTGAAAAACGTTCCAGCGGTCTGCAGCAAGAGGAATATGTTTGCAGAGCTATTTTAATTGTTTGTAGCCTTTATTTAACCAGGTGAAAATCACATTGAGATCAACGATCTCTTTTTCAAGGGAGACCTGCAGCACGTTGGTTACACATAAAAACAACAGAAAACAAAAAGGACATCATACAACATAATTACAGGGGTATACATTAGCAACCTATTCACAATGACAGATATCTAATACAATTTCATCTACCCGAGCTTTAAAATGATGCAAGGGAACCAAAATGCTCAGTTTCAAAAACAAATTGCATAGTGTTCCAAGCTAGAGGAGCAGCACACATAAAAGCTTTAGTACTTAAAACAGTCCAAGCACTAGTTAATGCGTGTGGGCGTGGTTAAATCTAAATATACAGTGGGTTGGAAAATGATAGAAGCAGCACACTTTGATGGAACGCAGCTCAGCTTCTCTGATGACATCATGGTCAAAAGTTGTCCATGTGATGGGGCAGATGTCTCCTCTTTAATGCTGTCTTGTCTCTACAGGACAGGTATGTGTGTGCAGTGACCAGAGACGTGCTTGGCAACAGTGTTCCCTGCACTGTCCTGCGGCCCTCGTGAGTGTCCATGTGTCTCTCTGTCATGTCCACATGTCATGTCCTCTGGTGTCGCTGACTCTCTGTCCTGTGTGCAGGGGGGCTGTGGTGACCCAGGAGTGTGTGGAGAAGCTGATCAAGAAGGATATGCTGGATCCTCTGAGCGGGGACAAACTGTCCGACAGGGACCTCATTCCCCTGCAGAGGGTATGTGTCTGTCTCTGATGTCTAACTGAAGCTGTCCTGTCTCGCCTGCTGGAGCTGATCTTGTTCTGTGTTCTGACAGGGGGGAACGGGCTTCGCAGCCTCCGGGGTGGACCTCCGGGCCAAAGAGGCCCGTCCAGTGATGATGGTGTGAGGAGACTTTACTGTTCTTATTTGAAATATCTGCAGGCTTATCTTTCCTGTTTCTGCAGGTGACATAGCTTTTTTTCTATCATACAGTGAAAAACAATACATTTGATATCATCTAAATTACATTTCTTTATTTGTTTAACCCCGACCATGTTTAAAAGACAGAACTATTCAGTTGATTCTGCAGAACTGATCATTAGCTTAGTCTGTCTTTCATGGACTTTCTTCACTTTTCAAACTGAAGCTCTGCAGAAACACTATGTCCATTTTGAGACATGAGAGTAGAATTGTATGGACAGATTTTTTTTTTGATCATTGTTTCTGTTGTTGTAAAAATAACAAAGTCTGTTTCACAAAGGATTCAGAGGATTTTCAGCTGTTTATAGGGTTACCAACCCTCCAAATGTAGTGATGCTGAGATAAGTGTGAGACATTCAGAGACTTTGTTCCTTTGTTTAAACTATTAGCTGTTGTATGTGATGGACATGTCACTGCCACTGTTTTCCATTAAATTCATTATTATTCATTGTTTGTCTGTTCTGATTTTCTTTCACTTCTATATCATTCTCCCCCTTTGATGACATTCAACACTATATTCTTAAATCATTTCCACAGAAATCTAAGCTGTAAAGGATCACATTAAGAGAATTTCAAATCATTTTAATTTAACCTTAAACATCAAATGAAACACTGGATAGTTTATAGTGTCTGTATGGAGTTTCAGCGGTAAAATGAACTCCATATGCAGCGTCCTCATTCTCTGAACAGGAGGCTGTTCCTCTGCAGCAGCTGAACCTGAGCTCTGCAGGGGCTGGCTTTTTGTAAAAGCTAGATATATTTGCAGAACACCATGAAAACATTTATTCTGTTCTGTGCTGCTTTTTTCACAGCTCATCATGCTCATCCATCCTCATCCCTCCAAAGTCGGTGATGGTGCTGGTTATGATGTAGTCGCTGTTGTCCAGCACCTCAGACAGTGTCAGAAGGCCATCCTGACAGTGGAGCACAGGGAGGGAAGAGCATTAATACACGTGTGTTTTATTCTACATGTGATGGAGGGCTGAAAGTAGACAGGGGCCAATCCTATATGGCAGCCCCATGACTTTAAGCCCCTGGGGACCCCCATGCCCCCCTGTAAAGCCTTCCTGAGACAAAACCGAGTACTGGCTAATGGTGCAAAAATAAATTCTCTGTGTTCTTATTTCATAGCTGCTATAAATAATTTATTTCATCAGTCAATGATTGTGTGAATGGCAGATCAATCATAGCCAAAGACAATATGTGCTAGTGTTGAGATAGTGATCCACTTAGTCTACTGGCAGTTCAGGAAAGTCTTCCTATTTAATGCTATAGAAATGGTCAGGGTCACAAACTGTATGAGAAGAGAGCTTCAGTGTCTCATTGATAATAATTACAATCATATAATACAGTACTGTAACTGGACTTTCAAGGTTAGCACACAAGGAAAACTGCATATTTAGAAAAAAAAGACTTTAATATCAAATGCCAATAACTTTTCAACTCACCTCTTCCAATTGTGCATTTCATACACTTTAACATCAAATGTTCCCATGCACACATGAACCTCAGATACAACTCTATGCTGATGTGTGCTTTCTGTTGGAGAGAAACCTTCATAGCCTAGCATTGTGTTAGCTGGATGCTAGTTCATGTCAGACTTTATCCAGTTTTCTCACTTTTCCTGGACAATAGGATAATATAATCGTTGGGGATACGCACCACAGTGTGAAAATGAATTTGAGAGAACTGTAGGATCATCAGTATCACCTGTATCCACATACACAATATGTGAGTGCATGCTGAATGTGTATGTGCAAGTGTAAACATGGCAACATGATCATAACCCAGAGTCAGATCATTACTTTACTAAGTAAAGGACCCACCCCACCCCAAAGCCACAGTAACAGAATCCTGCTCAGTACAGAACCCTAACCCGATGATCTTGTGATGACTCATCAGAGTTCTTCGTGTCTCTTCGTTAAGTCTTCGCCATAATTGGTGACCTGGCTGCCCACAAACATGTTCCAGTTGGCTAGAATCTCCTTCTTGGTTATTTTCTGGTCCTTGTGTTTGATCACGAGATTCCATCCAACAGGTTGATTGGTTTAAGATTTGAAGAAGAGGAGGAGGGGAAACATGAGGAGAGACAAACAGGAGGAAGAGAAGGGAGGCAGACAGAAGCGTGTTGATAATTAAACCACAATTACCCAATTATTTGCACCATGTTAACTCATATTCTGCACAGACAAGTTATGAATTACATTCATTAAAGGTGACATATCATGCTAAATGCACTTTTGTATGTCTTTTATACATGAATATGTGTCCCCGGTGTTCCAGAGAGGTCAGTGTATGTTTTGGTCATTGGGTTTTCTTTTCACAAATGGATATTCAAAAACAAAAAACGACTGGATATTTGATTTTCGTTTTCAAATTGAAAAACCAAAATTGAAATACAAGGCGTTTTTCTTTATCATGATAAAAAATTGATTTAAAAAACGGGATGATTTTCTTTTTCTACTTCTCAAAACAAAAAATAAAATCACTAGAAAACAGAAACAAAAAAACCCCCAGTTTTTTCATATTCTGCTACCGAAAATTGTCTTTCAAAATAAGAGCGCAGATGAGGACGGTCAATCCGTGTATCTACGGTCCATTTGTTTTCACAACGAAAACAGCCAAGACACATATTGAGCCCAGAAAATGAATGTTATTAAGGGCTGGAAATATAATAGGCCTGTGTCTAAAATGGACAACATTGTTAGGAGATTTCAACTATACAGCGATTCTGCACTGCGGTCAACTCAGCCGTCTCGAGTTTGTTATTATTTTTTCTGCCAATAGTTCTTCGTGAGATCGATCCTGTTGGACTCAGTACTAGTGAAACTACTCCCACAACAAGTACTATGAAGTACTTACTGTGTACTTTTTGAGTAATCCTCTGTCAATGTCCCCTCCTGAGAACAAGAATGCATGTTTCTCTGCTATTTTGAATCAGCGTTAAAACACCTTTCTTCCTGAGACTGATATTGTTGGACAGAGTATTTTAAGAGGATATATGGTAGACTTGATATCAGCAATACCTCCAGTCAGTAGTCCGGCAGCAGCATTTTTACTCCTTGGAAAGTCTTGCCCGCTATTTAAATTGACTTTGATTGAAGTTAATAACAATATTGATATTATATAGATAGATATAGCATATTTGATGCAGTCTTTCTGAACACTTTTAAAATAAAATACTGCAAATTACGAATATTTGTAATAGTGCCTTATCCCTCTATGGCATGACTTTTTATTTTGGGAGGAAAAAAATGTTTCACCATGTGTTTTAGGAGCTTAGGGGTCCCTGATATTATATCAATTATAAAATGTGACCCCCCCACACCCCTCAACCAGGGGTTGGTTTGTTGCCTCAGGGCAACAATGATATAATACGAGGTTATTGAAACACCAAGGATTTCTACAATTCAGAAGAAATAGAAAAAACAACTCTATATGAATTCAAAAGGTTTTCTGTGTGTGTGTGTGTGTGTGTGTGTGTGTGTGTGTGTGTGTGTGTGTGTGCGCGTGTGTGCGCGCGTTTCTGTACTTCCTCTAAGAAGAAAGGACCGTAACAGAAGATCTCTGTGGCTTCAGGCTTGATCGCCGTTCAAATGACAGCGTTGGTTTCCCCAAAAGTGGGCAGGGCTGTAAAGTGACTAGATTTTACTCTCATCTATTATTCAAAACCATTCTATTTATTCTAACATAAATTACATGCCAGTGTTTTATCTTTTTATTTATTTGTTTTTATTTTAAATCGTATAATGTCTGACTTTTTTTGCCGTCTGTGAGGAAAATAAATGGGGCTTAGAGCCTCAAAATACTGAAATCTGCATTTTTGAAAATTCTTTTTTTACCCTCTTAATTTGTTATTCTTTTCTAA